GGGGATTATTAGGAGGCCATGATTGGTAAGGGCCAATGGGAAATTTGGCCAGGATGCCGGGGTCCAAAATGGATGGATCAAAGGACTGTTGATATAGGAAACTAAACTAAACTTCCACTGTAAGGAGGTCATAGTTCCTTTAAAGGTCTGGATGTGTTTTCTGTTTCGCATGTTGTCAATAAGACACCAGCTACACAGTCTTCTGGAAAGTTAGCTTATCATTAATGTGCCCAAGCTGCTTGTTTTCAGTATTAAATTATTTTCAGGCTGTTATGAGATAAGAATCAGGCAAAACAAAGAACCGACGTCTCCAATAAAACCGCACTCACACACCTTGCCGCCGTGACGATAGGGTTGCCTAGCAACAGCGCCCGCGGTGAGGGAGTGCTGCTCACATGTGGCACAAGCACTGGGATGACATCGTGCAGAATCTGAAAACTTCACTTTTACAGCAGAGAAAACGAGCAGAGTGTGACGAGTGGCATATCTTCTGTTGCCCGTGAGCGCGTGTGGGGATTTCTCTCAGCCATTTAATTTCTCTCCCAGCAGATTTCGGTCCTTGGCACAAGATTGGTCTGTTCTGGCAGCTGGCTGCAGAAGCCTGGGCTGCCAGCTAACTTAAAATCTTTCCGCCCAACTGTTATTGTCTGAAATATAGACTTTGGTCACAGAAGACTTACTACATTTTAATGCCAATCAATCGCTTGTCTTCAATAAAACCATAAAGATGAATGTATTAGATATTGTAGTCCTTGAATGATACATTTTAATAATAGCCACTGACTATTGAGTGTCAGCATTTTTCTGACCCTCAGTGCTGATTGCAGGGCAGGAGAATCGTTCATTCAGATCGTTTCTCTTGGAACAGTCACTACAGATCCCCAGAAGGCTAGTCAGACGATTTGCACACAGCTCTGATTTTCTCTCCCACAACTCTCCAGTATGATGGTACAAATAAGAGACTAGCTGTCACCACATGGCTGTGTCCTGAATTATATTCACGATGACAGGGGCTGTATTTTGTATTTTTGGACGGGTTTTAGATGTGCAGTTCAGTGCACACTGGTCAGTTTCCTGTTTGATTTGGTGCTGTTGCTGGCTGTAATACCCTGTGATTCCTTTTCAGCTGCGATCTGAAGAGCCCGGAAACTGTGTCTGAACAGCATGATAGTGGACACTTAGTGGACACTCAGTTGACAAGTATCCATGAAAAACCCCTGCAGTGAGGAAACACCTGGGGCTTCAGCTCTCAATTCTCTACTCTGTCGGTAGTGGTTATTAAGCTTTCACAGTATTTAGAATTATACCTGCATTGCCCTTCTGTTCTTAAGTCATATTTGTGAGCTTTCTTTCTTAATGCTTAATCGTATAATTTTGCTTCATTCTACTGTACTCATCCTGTACCTTGACTTGCACTGTTTTCCTCTAGTCTTTATTTCAGTAGGTTATACAGTCACATCATGACAGGCACAGGCACCGTGGAGCTTCTGCCTCTCAGCACTGAAGCCCTTCGGTGCTTTCTCCATGGAGTTCGGATCTTCTCCCCTGGTGAGGAGTCGTACTGGTTTCCTCCCACAGCCCAGAGACGTCCTAGTGGATTTATAAACTTCTGGGAAGACTGGCCCTGGTGTGAGTGTGTGCTCGTGTCTGTGTGTGTCTGTTTGTGTCAAGGAGTGGCGTTCTGCCCAGGATGTAGCCTGCTTTGCGCCTGTTGCTTGCCAGGCCAGGCTCTGGCTCCCCCCATGACCCTGAACTGGACCTCAAAGTGTTTAGAAAAAGTACGGATGGATATTGTCACATTCTCATCTCAGCTTACTCTGTGCACTGTGTAAATGAGTGCTAATTTAATTAGTGCCTTTTTGTATTTGCTGGGTATCCTCCTTTTGTTCTTAAGATGTCCTACTTTTGTGCAGTTATATATACTGAAAAGTTTTGATTTCAGGAAAACAATCTAGACATTGGCCTGTGGCAGCTTTGCCTCACCGTGCTGCACCTGGGGGCATGTTTCAAGTCGCTGGTCCTGACAGGATATCCTGTAGCTTCTCAACACCTTCACCGGAGCACATCAAAGACCCTGCACTGAGCAGACAGGAAAAGGAGCCTTGTGCAATGAGCTGAGACACAGACACAGAGTGGCAGAGCTCATTGAGCCCGTTACTCGCGTTTCAATCCTCAAGGAGACCTGGCTGGCATTGAAATGTTTGCATTTAGTGGGCATCCTTTTGGAAAAGAGTTCGCTGTTGTTGAGGAGGAGCTGTGCAGCTCAAAGCTGGGAGGGTCAAAGTGGGGTGTGTGTCAGAAGAGTGCAGAGTGCCAGTGAAACATACAGATTCCCAAAAGACTACATTTCACTCTGCTCCAGCCATTACAGCTGCCCAGTGCAAGTGTATGGTGCAACAGATTGATCTCCTAAAACTGCAGGGGTGGCTTGGCTTGTGTGTCTCTGTGTATTCATGCCATTAACCGCTGCCACACAGTCCGAAGATTTCAGAGTGGTTCTGAACTCTCTTCTCACTTAGCTCATTGCTGATGTCAGTGCCATGACTGCCCATCCCTCTGTCAGGGACTCCAAGCTGTATTAATACATCTGTATAGAACAGAGGGATAGTCACAGACATGTCAATTTCCATTTTCTGTAGTGTCATTCTAAATGCTTCAAGAAACCCAACTTTCAGCACAATAAGGTTAGAAACAATGGAGATGGCTGTGGGGAATATGATCGAAAAACAGTACAAGAACAAACCTGTAATACCATGAATTTTAAGAGAGAGGATTGTATACAGTATATACTGTATAATATACAGTATTTGTCATCTAAACGTAAAATAAATACTGAGGTAATTCACTGTAAAGGCAGTATTATTAAAAACAGAAGCACTCAGACAAAGAGGACTGAGCTGTACTTGTATGAAAAGAGGTAGCAGGGCTGTAGTCACATCCTGCCGATATTTCATTTCCTGTGAATCTCCTATGCACGCTTCACTATTATCATAGAAACCATGACAACCACAGATATTAATATGAATACAGAAGTATTTCAGTATTGTGCTGGCTTCTGGTGGAGATCTAGTCAGATGCTTTTCATGGCATCATTACAGAATTTCAGTCATTCTGTTCTGCTGTTCTGGTTTGAACTCTTGCCTTGAGCAGGTTAAATAAGGTATGTTAATGACAGCAATAGTGCTTCATCAGAAAATCACAAGCAAAACAAAAAGAGACAGTCAGCACATGTGTTCCCTTAAAACGAACTGTCTTCACAGGGACATATAACGACGTCATTCGAACCCTTTCTTCTATATTAGAAATTAGAAAGAGCAAGTTCAACTAAGTTCAGAGATAAGCAGGATTTAATTGAAGGCATCCAGTTTGACAGAAATCATTGACCAAAAGCCAAGACGAGAGTGTCCAGTGCTCCCAGTGTTTATTCCTGGTGTGGAGACTCCGCAGCGGTGTGAGGTCACAGCAGGTGCCCCAGAGACAGAGCGGACAGGGCTGCGCCGACCAGCGTGAGGGAGGGGAGTGCCAGGCCAGCCCCGGCGGGGGTGAAGGGCTCGGTGTGTCTCATCAGCCAGTCCCGCTCCTTCCTCAGGCCCTGCTGCTCCAGTTCCGGCACCAGCTCCTTGCGGATCTGGCGGTAGTACCTGTCCAGCCAGTCCACCTGCGACACAGGACGCGTGGTGCTCATTACCGCCGCGTGGCGTCTGCCCGTGCTTCTCGTGGGTCACACAAGGAAGGTCAGATCCTAATCTCTCACCTCCTTCCCCTCTCCTGTGTATACTGTATGGGTATACAGTAGGTAATACTGGTCATTGTTTCTTAACGCCTGGGTGTGACACAAGGAGTTGTGGGCATTGTGTAAAACACATTATGCAAAACAATGAATTCAAAGCTTAAATGGACCAGGATCTTCAGGGAGAAGACTTATCCCTGGTGCTTGGCAACATGAAGCCAGAGCTCTGATGACATTGGTGCCAGCTACAGTCGCCAATTTCTATTTCCACACGATCCGTTAAAGCTTTTTAAGCAGCATGTGAACGATGTGATTATGCCACTCATTGCTGCTGCCTTTCAGAAGCTGCGTGCTCTAGACGGAGCCACATGTCAGATTCTTTTACCCGAGTAGTTGCTGGCTTTGCATGAAAATCCCCCGGGTTGAGATAAGATCAACGGAACCGTGAAGATAGTTACCGTAGTGTGCTTCCGAGGGGGTTTTGGAGGAAAATCTCCACACGTGCACCCTTCAGCAGCACCTTAGGCCATTTTGTATTTTCGAAACGAAACAAGCAGGTATAGAAAGGAAATGTCATTGCCCGGGTCAGGGCCTTCACCTGTTCTCTGCTCAGGAGGGAGGCGTCTATCAGCTTCCTGTCATACGGGACCAGCGACACCGTTTCAAATGTCAGGTAAGACCAGCCAAACTGCGGCAAAAACACACAGACGACTGCAGTGAGTCACTGTTAAATGACACAGGGAACAATGAAGGGAACGAGCTCTGCCCCTTCCAACAAGTCCCTTAAACCAGGGGACAGGAGGAGGGCAGAGCAAGAGAATCTGTCCTGACATTCCGATATCCTGTACTGAATTTCTCTTGCAATGAAAGCTCTTGGAAGCACTGCTGGAACACTACAGATTGTCTCCCTTGTCTCTAATCTCCCGTCTCCTCCTTCCCTTCCAAACTCAGACGTGATCCTTTGCAAATGGTCTTGTCAGATTTCGCTCATGATGTATGATTAAGCTATACTCCACATCGCGAGCTGTCTTGCAGAACAGAAATGTTATGAGGTACACAAGAAAATGTGTTACTTCATGTCTTGCACATGTGGAATTTGGAAGTGGAAGTGGTATGGGAAGTGGGCTTTGGACTGACCTGATTTTAAAGAATATCCCAATTTTTGTATGTCATCTGCCCTGATTGAGAACATTCTGATACAGATACATATTGATGGACACCTCTATGACAAAAATCAGGCAGGTAGTTTGGAATTACAACCTTACTTTTGTTTCTGCTTCTACTGCAACAGCAACATCTTCTATTCTTATGCCAAACTCATTGTCTTGGTAATACCCAGGCTCTAGGAAAACAGACAAGGGTTAATACAGGTCTGCCCTGTGCTCCAAGGGTCCTAACATGTCAGAATAATCAGAAGACAATTTGTGGCTAATGTTTACGCTGTGTGGTTCAATGAAACGAGATCATTTCGTTGCACAAAGTATTCTGATGGCATGAAGCAGCAGTGAAACAATGCTCACTACTGTGCTCTTTGTTTGCAAACACATTATTCTGCTTCTTCAGACTCTGCCACTCAGCATGGGATTTTTGTCAAGGTAGCAGCAGCAGGCTGAACATTTCTGAAAAGTAACTCTGCATGTGTCATGACAGTGTCAGGGAGGAAAAAAAGCTATTTGGTTATCAATTCCTAAAACGACCTTCCATTCTAAGACACATCATTCTTGGTGAAAGGTGGACAGTGATCATAAAGGTGGTCTGGTGGTGCTGAACTGTCATAGTGTGGCTGGCTTGTCTGAGTCGCTCTAGAAAGAGTCTTCAGGATCAGGCTTGTAGAGGATAGCGCATGTCTTACCTATAGAGGTGAACATTCCCTTTTCGAATGGAACGTTATTGGACTGAAAGCCTACAGGCCCTGTGAGGAGAGATCACAAGGGGATCAGTGCACGATAAGGACATTTGCCAAAGATAAAGCTTTAAGGGTTCTGAATGTAACTTTAAAGTAAATTATAGGCATAAAGACCATAAAAGCTATATTTTATAAAGGTAGTATGACAGGCAGAAAAAAGCTTATAAAAATAGTTTTGGTCTATGCCTTTAAATGTGCACTCAGACTCCTGAGTCCCTGTCAGATCTGTACAGAGCAGGGCAGCGGAACCCCAGTCCCCGAAGGACAGAAGTTTTCTCATTTTCTTTCCACCTGAGCCCTTAATTACCCAAATGAACTTGTTAATTGCTTATCTGGACAAGTGGAAGCCTCTCCCGGAGCGGCTGGAGGCCTATAGTATAAACCCTGCTGGAGGAGCGGAGCTGGGCTCCCCTGGTGAACACAGAGAGATCCTCACCAGGGCTGTGATCACTCTCGTCTCAGAACAGGAAGGGGGAGCTCCTGGTGGGAATGGAATGCTGCCGTCCCGACCGAGCGCTCTTACATTCATGGACGCTGAAGTAGTTTCCGATGCCATGACCTGTTCCATGGCCATAATTCAGACCCACTTCCCACAGTGCCCTCCGTGCCAGCATCTCGATGTTAATACCTGGCACAGAGAAACACACGGGGCTCAGCGATGCAGATCATTTCCGGGTCTCGTGCTTTGATTTCATGGTATATAATGATCACAGGATTTATTTTGTCATCATTTCCCAAACATACAGTATATATACAGTTTCTAGCAATATGTATAAAGTACATACCGAACTGAAAACATGCTATGTGTTTTATAGAAAAATGTCTTAAAAAGACAAGATTTTTTGTGACGTACACAAGGTTTAAGTTACAAAATCGTACACAATATAAAATATAGTAAAGAAGACTAAGTACAAAATGTATACTTTACTTCTGTGCTTCCTGATAACAGTCTGTCTTTTCCAGTCATGTGTATATTGTTTTGAAGGTGAACACATAAATAAGAAATCTATAAGGATTGAACACTTTCTCTTCAACAGTTTGTTGCTCAGAAGCATACGTTCAGTTCTGTACTTCTCTGCACCACTCTCTGGGCTACTAAGCTGTTAAGAAACAGTGTCTCATTTAACTGGTAAGAAACCTGCCTCTAGTCCCAGCTGGGAAGACAAGTCTTGATAGATCGATATTTCCCATCAGCACTCTGGTGAATGCCTCCTGCGTTTCAGAAACAGAGAAGAGTTTGGTGTGACTTTGCGGACAAAGTGGATCAATTGTTTGCCGTTGTGTTGTGGAGTAAAGGCTCTGTGTTACAGTGCCCACGGAAGTACAGGCTTCCTTCTGACTCTGTCACCCTCACCTTTTGGAAGTCTGTGGGCGTGCCCCAGTGCACTGTGCGGGTGATGTCAGTGGTTCCATCCCTAGGATGAAAGGATGAAAAAATAAAAGGATGGATAAATGTAAAAGTAAACCCGAGCTACAACGATGTTATAAAGAAAACTGACCTGGCTGCTCTTCCGAGCGAAGCAGACAGACACAGTGTGCAGAATGTGCACAGTCCTCAGGTCTGCTCGGAAACTTCAAACTGAACAGGCTGAGCAAGATCAGAAGACACAGGAAGCAGAAACTGGGCTAAAGGAACAACGGTGACCATCTGACACAGACTTGCCAAGCAGAAAGGGAAAGGTGATTCTCCTGGGTTCGTGGGCATTAGATAGAAATTTTTCTGCAAAGAGTAACAACAAAACAATGGCCCGTCAAGCAGGCAGATGGTGTTTTCTGTGTACTTCAGCACTTACAGGTACTGGCCTCCAGAGTCAATGAGATACATCTCATCAACACGCAGGTTCCTGTTGGTCTCGTTGCTGGGGCTGCCAGACACAACCGAAGATAACAGTCACTAACTGAGAAACACATCTTCGCACAGGGAAGTGAACGGAGGAAACACATTTGAAAAATAAACAAAGGAAAAGCATTTTGACAAACTCATATCTGCAGAAAGAGAGAACCATCTATTGTTCTGATATCATAACACCAGAACTGCTACTGCCTGGGAGTGCTCCTACTTGGAGGATCCTACTCACAGTATTGTGATTGCAGAAATGCAGAACGTTCAGTACCTGTAATGAGCCAGAGCAGCATTTGGTCCGCTGGCAGATATGGTTGCAAAGCTGGGTCCTACACAGTTAGCCTGCATACTGAAAAAAAAAGTATCAATGTTTCTTAAAAACAGTGGCACCGTTGCTATTTCTTTTCTGTTCCAGCTAATTTGGAATTCTCTATTGCTAATCAGCTGAGCCCCTGGCTCACACACAGCACAGGAGGGGTGCGCCCTATGCAGTTTTTCACACCGAGGGCCCCACAGCTCCTACAGCTGTTACCGAGTTCACGTGCGCGCACCCGAGCGAGCGATCGCGTCTCACCTGCGCTTTTCTTCCACATAGCGGGCGGCGGACAGCTCGGTCTCCTTCCCCGCGGGCACGCTCTCCTCCAGCCACACGAGCAGCTGGATCAGGGCCACTGCATCCCTCACCTGTGGAGCAGCACAGACGGGTCCCCTCTCAGCGCACCACGCTCAGAGTGCCAGGACCCGCAGGGCGGCAGACGGCAAGACACCCCCTGGGCCTACAGCTCAGCCCAGGCCAACCCAGCTGGTGGATTTAATCCTAATCGATTTATTTTCTGGCCATAAAATCCTTTCCAGCGGGAGATGAGAAAATAAATGAAAGCAAAATGAAAGTGGGAACAGGAGGAAAGGTGGACACACTGATTTCAAAGGCTCAGTTAATTCTCCCCCACCGTGAAGAACTGTCAGCGTTAGTTGCCTTGTATACCTACATGAGCTTTCCTCAGGGCTCTCTGCTCGGTGGCGTCCTTCACTGATTTAGTGATGAGGACAGGAGAGTAGGCGCTGGTCAGGATCTTCTCCTGTAAGAGCATCAAGGCACAAAGCAGGGTGATGAGGATGACGACAACGATGATGGTGGTGATGATGATGATAGCAGCGCAACAGATCATTTACCTCTGGGGTAATCAGCTCATACAAAGCATAGTTCGTGTATTCTGTTCCAATCCAAACTCTCACGCCGATGGTCACGTTAACATAGTTCACAATATTTGCCCGTACATCTTCGTAGGACAGTATCTGAGTGCAGTTTGCACTTTGACAGCCCGCATCCAGATATTCCTCAATCTCTTTGGTCACGCGACCTGGGTGTAAGAAAAGCCTGTTCAGTGTAGAAGAAAAAGAAACATTCCATTAGGACGACTTGCCCAGAACGTCACCCCTCATCTCTTCCGTACGCCCTCGTGTCTCAGTGTGAGGGCTGTGCGCATGTCTTAACCAGAACGATCTGGATTTCCCTCCCCAAGCATCAGGCCTGGCGCAGCAAGAAACTTCTCACCAACCTAATGAAAAAATACTCGATCTAAAGGAGGACCGCAAAAAAAAAGCCACATGAAGAAAGAATATTTTAATTGGACTCATTCAAAAAAGCTTGATCTGATGTTATTTTCTACCCCTTTTAGAAATGCTGGTCTTGATTTGTCTTGGCTAGGGCACAGTGAAATGAATGCAGCTCCAGCCCTGGGAGTGCTCCTGGGCCGTACTGTGACTACAGAGTGCCCAGGCTCATCCTGTTCCCCAGCAACTGCCCCAAGCAGTGACCTCTAGGGCATATGGCTGTGGCCCCAGTCCTGCGACACGTGGAGACTCGGGTCCTCTCTGGGCCACCTCCTCAGCGACCGGCATCTCACCAGATCCGGTCGAGGGCCAGCAACGTGTACGAGTAGAAGAAGGGGTTGTAGGGGATGTCTTTCCCTCTCAGATTGAAGAGCCCTGAAATGTACAAGAGAAAGGTATCAGTGTCTCCCCGGAAGGCTTCAGGGTTTGACAGCAGCACCCCCATCCTTCAGTTACAACTCCAGTAGCCCCTCAGCAGCTCCACGTGGCTGATCAAATATCCAAAGACAGTGTGCTACAACCTCCCTTGCTTAGCTGGCAAAGGCACTCGCTGGGGTTCGAGCCTGGGTCACGTCACTAGCCGGCTGTGACCAGGATTCCCTGCGGGGTTGAGCACAGTCAGCTGAGCGCGGCCGAGGTGAGGGTGGGATTGCTCTGGTGGGGTTCTCTAAGCTCTCAGTGATGCAGCACGCCCAGTACCCATCCGGGCTCTTACAGGCTTACAGTGCTGTTGCTGACAGATGTCCCCCTCCTCCCACATGCAGCTGTTCCTGAGGCCGTGGCTGGAAGGGGGCAGGTCAGAGGAGTCTGCTGGCGCTTCCTCATTCTCTAATCTCCCCGTGTGTGGTGGCAGGGTTTACTGTTGTGAGTCAAGCATGACAGACTTGGCCGTTCGAATATGGGGGGAGATTGTGGGTGATTCTGATTTTTGTTTAAAAGAAAGAAATAAAAGAGAAAGACTCGTGCCCTCCATTTCTTCTGGTCAATGGGTTCCCATTGATGGGTTGGCAGTGCTTTCAGTCATTCAGATTTAATATCACATAAATACTTGTGATACTTGTGAGCCTGGTCAGTACCTGGATGGGAGACCTCCTGGG